TTATTGAAAATATTACAGGTATATGACACTATTTATATGAACATGTTATATCACACAGATAGTTCGTTTAGTCACATAGTGCTATTATCATTGTGTAGATAGTGTTCGGGCCTGCATTGCACTTTGAACTGAATTGGGTACTTGCCAACTAGTCAAATTCAATACTTTTTCGAACTGTCAAAAACGACCGTTTTTCTATGAATTTTGTACGAGATTGTGTATTGTGACGTCACATTTACTAAGCGTCAAACAGCATACTTATTACTTAAAAATCTGCTGATTTTTTTTTATATTTTGTTATTGAACAGTCGAAATAATTTATTTTTGACTAAGGAAAGTATCCAATTGCTTTAGAACCTCTATGTTCCGTGTTGTATTCTTCTTCTATCCTTCATATCTCTTCTCTATTCCTTTTACCATCTTCATTTTCATATCTCTTCTTCTTAGTTTAGGTGATTTTTGCACTTGACCTTGTCATAAACTCCATTACTTAGGAAAAATTAACGATAACAGTGTTAATATCAATTGCAAACTTATTATGGGTTGTTAAATATTCCTTACCATTTTGTACAATCCGTTCGAACGGTACCAACAAGAGGTATGTGTTACTTACAGTTGTATTCTGCGATAAACTATCGATCGAGTTATGGAGAGCAATGTATCGACTAGCCTTGTAACAAGTGTTAGTTAACGTTTTGAGATTTATCTTCTTCTATTGTTGTTTTTTTATGGCATATACGTAAACGAGTTGACGGATCACCTGATGGTAAGCAATCGACGTTGCCCATGGACACCTGTAACACCAGAGGCGTTACAAGTGCGTTACCGGCCTTTTGAGGATTGTTGGGGATTCGGGGATTGGGGAAAGGAGCTGGGCCTCCGGTAACCTCACTCACACGACGAAACACAATGCAAGCGTTGCTTCACGTCGGTTTTCTGTGAGGCCGTGGTATCACTCCGGTCGAGCCGGCCCATCCGTGCCGAAGCATGGCTCTCCCACATTTAAATATTGTTCTATTTTTATATTTTATGGAATAAGAGGTAAACAGGCATACGGATCACCTGAATCTGATGGTAAGCAATCAGCGTCGCCCATAGACACATCGACACCATGTTTGTTTTCATAGAGGTTCAAAAGTTTGTTTTAATGAACTAAACTATTATTTTGGAAGTCAAAGTAAATTTAAATCCCCATAAAATCAGTGATAACATACTTTTAAAAGAGACGTGAAGACATTATTTTTGCCAATAAATTCATATTTTGCTTTTTTAACTAATTCGCCAGCTTCAAACCACAATTTCATAATCCCCACAAATGACCACACTGACCCATTTGCCTACAAATCCCACGCAGCACAATATACCGTCAATATAGTTCGTTTAATTGTCGAGCTGCCGGCGCACGCGCAACGTTCTCATACAATACGTAAGGCATTGTTCTACGCAGTGTGTGAAGGACGGATAACTTAGCAACTGCAGTTAACTTCTCGTTTTTTACTACTTTAGTACTTTATACTGTTTCTTCTAGGACTATAGATCTTGTGTTTACATTTGAAATGTCATTAACGTTTTCGATTTCTGTTCCTTTCTTTTATTATTGTTTTGGGGCAGCATTGTCAGATTCTTAATTCTCAAAGTTAGAAGGCATTTCAATAAGACCAATGAAATCATTTTTCGATTAGATGGTCGTTTCAATGTGTCCTGTTTTTTTATATATACGGTTGTTACATCCTATATGACGAAGTATATGTTCCACTGTCCATCTTGTTTTGTCGGTTGCCATTCAATCTATTATAGACACATATTATTACCTTACCTTACCCAGGTAAACAACAATCACGAGAGCAGGTACAATTTGCTAAGGAGAATTTTTTAAAGATTCTTCTTCACGACCACCATCGAATTTATTGTCAACGGTATCCATAACCTAATTTGAAGCACCGTTAACATCTTTTATGGCATCAAAATATTTTTTGAACATTTTATTACTGCACTCTGCAATCTATTTTAATAAGGCAATAAGTCACAAATCTGTCACACCAATTTAGTCAGCTCACCGTTCCATTCATTAAACATTACGACTCATTTTAGATTAGCATCTTGCGTAGGTTTTCTTTCAATTTCCACGGCGACGTTTGAAAAGTTATTTTACATGCGAGGAGAGATAAGATTGTTATGCTATTATCTGCCGTCTGATCTGAAGGAAAGCAATCAAAGAATTAGAAAGGAATACGTATTTAGATTTACAACGTGTTTCGTTCGGTGATAGTAACTAGTTAATGAATTCGCATCATAACAATGAGTGTCTTTGCATGCATTAAGCGTTTGGAAACGTTACTCAGGTAACATCTGAAAACATGCATTATCCAGTCATCCTACCTACTACAATGTTGTTGTGGCTTCACCGTGTTTTTTTTTATTTTCATTAAGCAATGGTCGCTGGTCATCGAGCTCTGCCTCATCAGGCTCGAATTAAACCCCATTACATAACTGTTCACATTCGTAATCACAACATCGACAATACCAATAGCCTTAATCACAAACAAATAAAGCTTAAAATCCCTTAACAAAAAAAATCTGATTGAAAATGTGAATCATGCTATTCGGTAAGTACTATTTAAAATTCCTTAAACCGTTCGAAGTTCGAAACTGGCGTATTTACGGTAAAGACTGTTTTATATGGCGGTCGTGCGCAGGCGCATGCCTTGTTACCTGTGTATTTATTTCTATAGGCTTTATCCTTTACTATAGTATTTTGCTTGACCGAAGATTCTTTGTTGCATTAGTTGTAGTCTTATAACCATCAATACAATATACTCTTAGGCTCCATGACACATAAAATCAATACTTTTTTCGAAATAACATAATACCAACGGCTTTTTTTATGATACTGATTAGCAAGATGTATATTTTACGCAAATTAGCCATAAAATATTTTATTACATGCTTGAATACGTCAACATAGATTATTTATTTTTGATGGACATCTCTGTTTAGAAAACATCCATTTTCATTTTCAATAGCAATTAAATTTAAACCTAAATCCGCGAATATGTTAAGACTCATAATGGTTAATCAACCACACGTCTTTCAACTTTCAATAGTAATAAAATTTAAACCTAAATCCGAACAAGTTAAGACACATAATGACAAATCAACCTTCTTGAGAAGTCGCACTACCATTTATCCTTAGGTACCAAATATAGACAGACAACAATTTCTAAGTAAATGACTCAATTGCTGCCTGGGAACTTAAAGTCTAACGGTGTAATAGATTCAACTCGATGATTTCACACAATGACATACAGAAAATATGTCTACCATGCTCCACTTTGGGAGCTAAGCTTTCCAAATATGGCGTCTAAGGTATGAGAAATATCTGTTGATAGAAATACTTGTACAAATCTCTTTCTTACAATATTCTCATAGGATTTTTGACATTTTGCAATTCGGCCTTTTGTTGGGATGTAGGCAACTCAATCAGTTAAACTCAATACTATTGGATCTTTCTAGAAGGTCTCAGATTCCCGCCAATTCCTTTGTGAAACAACACAAACGTTAATAATTCAAGAAATTTACCGAATATCGAAAAAATGGTGTAATAATAACACTTGCACCCCAACTCTTGTCTTTGAGTAAATGAAAGGTCATTAACCACAATTGAAATCTAGAAAACTAGGATTCCAATTTCAAAACATCACCAGGAAATGAACAAGCAAATAAACGCTCTAATAATATTTGTTTGGAGTCAATTTTCGCTTAAACTATGAATTCTCATATTTCTACATCGAGCGACCTGGTTAAATATATTAACAGTGTATATTTGTTTATTGCGAACATATGAGGCAGTTAATACTTTTTAAGGCTAAAGAGAAATGTGGCTTATAACTTATTGTACTGTGTCGAAAATTGGTTGATATGTTGTTTGGTCTGGGTCTGAACAAAATATTCCATTGCATACATCTAATTCTTTCCAAAAGTACTCACTAATTTTTGTATACAAATAACTAAACAATCGCCTCTATTATGCATGTATGTACTCTATAAAAGACAACTTGCAAAGTACCCAACCATATTCCTATGACGCAAAGAAAATATTATTGATAACGCCAGAAGAATCTCGAGTTCTTATCATTTCAATAGTACTCCAAATTCCTATGACTTGATCGATGTGATAAGATTAACTCTATGTGGAATTTTCATAGTATTTCACAACTACCGAAGTTGACATCTGATCAGTCTGTATCTTACTACATTTGGTCCGAAGACCGTAATTTATTTGATAACATCAGATAAAACTGTAACGTAAATAATTTCCTAACACAACAATAATTCAATAATAGTCTTACATTATTTAATAATCAGACTTTAATAGGTTCAACCAAGGACATTTCATTAATAGAATGGTCGACTTTATAATAAAATTTATCATGGTTTGATCAATCTAAATTAAAATACACAACACAATGAAATCATCAACGTACTTCACCTTTACGACCGCTGCAACAATTGCACACAATACCTCTCATATCGATCGCAAGATCACTACTTAATTGATTCGATCCATCCGTCGATGTATCGATCCAGCTTATCTAAATTACCCGAGTCCTTGTACAGTTTCAAAACATCATTTAAAAGTGGAGCAATGCAAAAAGACTATGAGAATCAGCGTGGTACAAAAACACCGTACTTACAAACTTGTGCAACTTAATAGTTTCTAAACATTAGATCAATAATATTACAACAATTTGCGTATCGATTTATAAATCGATATCGTGATCGATACTGCTATCCTCGCCGCCATTATCGTTTTTATATCGCCCTCTAATGCCGTGGTTAATGTCAATAGAAAATCTTTAATAGCGATTGCAAATGGTTTATCAATTACCTACTGTGACCAAAAATCTTGCATATTTTATACGGTTTAGGGAATAACCTGTGAGATGTAGTATTGACTATATTAGCAAAGTGAATCATGTTATTATTTTCCATTGTTGCAGGCTTATAGTCGTCGTGAATTCCGTCCGCATTGGTAACGGAGAGACCTTGGTAAACCCAGCTGACTTTGAACGCAGAGCACCGCGCTGTCACTTGCGCAAGCGATTCACCTACGACCCGATACGAAAGTTGAGCCAGCACCGAGAACTGACGAGGACAGTGAACTAGGTGACGCGCACCTGTGTGATGTGCCGGCAACATCACATTGATGTGCAGGTAGACGTCACCTGATTCCCCACTACCCCTGGATGCGGCCGAACCATGAAGTTCTCAACTGGCTCCAGCTCGAGCAGTCTTGCCAGCGATTCGCTGTCGAGAAAGTCCACTCTATGCATCTACACCGAAGTCGATGCTCCCACAATGCCGCCGCCTTCCGAAAGGGTGAGTTTACAGTATCTTTGCCATACGACTTATAAATCGTTCTTATTGTTCCCCAGCCCTATACATTATTATGTTAAGTCGTAAAATAATGCCATTTCCAATACTAGGCTCTTAAATTGTAGATGTAATCGGCTATCAGGCCCAAAAATGAAAGTGTTCGTGTTCGTCCATAAAGGTAATGTAAGTAATGTAACCTTAAATGTTATGGGAGATCCAAGTATCTGGCAATTTGCTTTCGATTTTCCACAACCAAGTATAGTACCTACATTAAAACTTTCAATTTCGGACAACGATAATAATAATATCACATTAACAAAAACAATACAAAAAGCTGCGCGTCCGGGTTGGAGAGTTCGGTGCGTTTGGTCCAGTCGAGAGAAAGTAGCATGTCATCTCTGGCACTGCGGCAACTCGTGAGCCACCTGGCCACCGACTCCAACGTAATTTTGCAACACCTTGAATATTTATTTTTTCTCATTGTCCTGCCCTACAAGGTGCTTCACTTCATTTATGGATGTGCATCAATAAATTCTCATTTAAATTGTAAAAAACACTGGCCTTGTCGCTTTTACTACATAATTAGTAAACTTGATTTTTGCTACTTGTAATTATATTTTATTCAGTTTCATAAGCACAAGTTATGCATTACGAATTCGGCAGTATACATCACACAATACAAAAATTACGCGTGCACATGTAACATTGCTTACGCGACAATCGTGCTACCGAGATTACCTGAGGACACGGTGGAACACACTGTTGCGGAATGCCCTGCGTGGGCTGAGCACCGCCGTGCCCTCAGGGAAGTGATCGGCGATGGAGACCTCTCGCGTCCGGGCCTAGTTCAGGCCATGATGCGGAGCGAGGGGGACTGGGATGCCGTCTCCTCCTTTTGCGAAGCAGTCATGCTGGCTAAGGAGGAGGCGGGACGCGTAAGGCAGCGAAGCGCTGCCTCCTCGCAACCCAGCCATCGCGAAGGACACACCGGGCGTCGGGGATCGCGGGACGATCTCCGGCCACCGTAAGCGCGGGCCTGCGGACGGCGAGCATGGGTGGCTCCCCGTCCGACCAGAAACAGACCCGAGCGTACGGCGCGTCGCGTTCCGCGCGCGCCTCAAAGAGCCATCAGACCACCACAGATGGGGCCCAATAGGGCCGATGCCGATTCGGAGTCGCGGAGAACCTAACGGGTAACCGGGGCTCCGGCTCGACGTGCAGGAGAAGGAACGGGGTGGTTTTTAGTCAGTAAGAGTCTGACACTCCCTTCCGCCTCACCCAGGCGGGAGCAGTCATTCGATGATTTTCCCCCCTTAAAAAAAAAAAAAAAAAAAAAAAAAAAAAAACCGAGATTACCTATGAATTATTTGTTTACATTATTACGTATTCATTTCTAACCTTGAATCATTCCATCTTTGATTCCGAGATGATTCACCTTCCAGATCACAAAAACTCACTGAATCATGATCTTGAAATTTGACATTAAAGAGATTTACAATAAACCTTTGATTAATGGCTAGTTCATTTGTAAATGGATGTATATTGGCTAATATCTTGTTATTGTTGTTGCTTATTTCGTTATTCGCGTCCGGACGATCGAAACATATTCATGGCAGCGTCTCAAGGTCTCTATTGTCTTAAATACCACACACGAAACGTTACTACACTATTTCCCCGCCTCTGTCTGTTCGATTTACTTCACAATCGTCAGAGTGTTCTCGTGCATAGAAATAGTCGTTCGATCAACTTTCGAAATTATTATTTGAAACGGTTTTTACGTCTAACTAATCTTTAATACTATCAACTGTAACTTCTACATCATATCCATCTGTTACGGCGATAATAGCGCTTAACAAACTAATCTTACGCTACATTTTTTTCTTTTCTATTATACTGTGTAAGTATTATAGTACGTAATACAGTGGTCGAGATTTCAATTACCTCATACGACACCCAGCCATCACTTTCGCCGCCTGCGCGTGGGCGTTCAATCATCGGATCAGAACTATTATCTGGTATTTATTAATCGTCTATTGTTCTCTCAGCGGCTAATGAACTTTTACCATATGAAAAGAAAGTATCTTTTAATGAGTGAGTTTAGAGAAGTGATCGCTTGTAATGGACGTTATCATTGTCATCGAGTTGATGTTTATTGATGATGTGTTCGGTTGTGTTGTTTATTGCTTCGTTGCATGCTTCTATGTTGTCGCGTTAGTGAAATCGCCCAGAGAATTCCATAGCTATTACGTTCCTCAATAAATCATGGAATAAAAAACCGTTGCGCAATTATTTGTGATCATCATTATAATCGCTTCTGATTGATTTATTATTTACAGAATTAGCAATATCCTTATTCTATTTATTTTTCCTTGTATTTATTTGTATCTTATTGTTTAACTTTAAAACAATAAGTATTAAATAAAGAAAATCTGAAGTACACCTGTCGCAATATTTGTCGTTCACTTGTCTCATCGTCTGGAAAAGCCTTGGCTTATTTAATGTAGCCTTATCTCAGCCTTCGAATTAGATTGGAGCATTAAACATATCGTGTAGCGAATTGCAATAACAGCTGTGTGTCATGTGACACGTCACTATTACTCTACGGAACCAAAGGGAGTGACGTCAGCACTTTGTGGCCGGACGATAACTGGTCCTGCGGTCAGCTACCTTATGAACAAATATCTTTAAATAGTCACTTCTTATAACACACGAAAATTTAATAATTGGCTTGGTATTGAAAAACTTGTATATGTGTTTACGTTATGGGGCTGTTAGACTTATCGAATGAACTTAATCACATCTTGGATGAGGAAAGATTTTTCTTCTATTTGAAGTACCCCTTTTACAAATTTCAACACTCTTCAATTTAACAAACATAGTCTGAGTCTATGAATCAAAAATGTTCTAGTGCACATTTCAAGGCGTCATTACTCAACAACTATTATAAAGTTGCCTCTATTATTGTACTCGTAGACGTGAGCCTAGCAACCTGTCATTACACTATCGTGTTCATTGAACCCAAGACTTTATGCTGCATGTTAGCAGTGACGACATCCACGTACACTCTCAGCTTCTTTGTATAAACGCCTATTAATTTTTTACTTGGTATCTCTTTAAATATGTTAAACGTAACTTTGAATACAATGATATCAGCATTCAGTAAATCATTTGCTTTTTCTCATAACATAAAGTGACATCTTCATCACTCGTCAGCATTCGTCCCTGTTCTATTGATATTATATTACACAAAATCCTTAATACTTTTTAGTTTTTTCCCTGTCATTCCAACTTTTCCTACCACTCTTTGCTTCGTCCCTTTATTAGACATGTTAATTAAAGTACTTGGAATACTACTCATTCTTCGAAGGAAAGCAACTGTGAAATTAACTGACTTAACTTGTCGTTGCTTGCAACGAAAAACCCCAATTCACAAGTATTTCCAACAGCTTTCATCTTGCGACCTTAACTCCGTTCTGCTTGTTTATCGGACTGTATATTTACGCTCCTTTTATTTTATAGTAATCTGATACGAATTCGTTTGCCGCGGCAGGGCCTACTTCATTGTGCACGTAGTCCACTATTGTCTGTACACGTCCTAAACGCAGCTACACAATACCTATCGATTCATCGATATCACTTTTCTTATCTGCCTTTGTGATTACATCCGATAACACAAAAATGTTTTGTTCGTGTTTTAGTTTCAATAAAGTGCATTCACGTTCTAAGCATTCCTTTGTAATACGTCAAATGAAATATTACTTGAGATTCCTCCGGGCAAATCGTGAGGATAACCGGACATTTTTCTCTCACAGGAGCACATAATTTCCTTAAACGATCGACTCCCATTCGCATCGGAATCCGCTCGCACCTGGCAACAAGAACAGGAATGTTGGCATTCCTCATTGTAATCTCTAATTCCATAGCTATCGGGCCATTATTTTAATAAGCTTTTCAGTGCTGTAATAACAGTGGCGTGGCGTCGCGTGATCGTCCTTGAGTGAAGCGTGCACAATTGCACGATTCTTTTTCTAACACTCGCTACTTACATCAGCTTGTGAGATCGTTACCATAGCGTATTGGAAATACTGAGAATTTCATCTGGTTAAAGATTCTACTCTCATTGTCTCACGTGGGAAACATAATATACTTAAAAAGGTATGGTTTCTTTTCTTCGTATTGTGATTCCAGTAATCTGTTTAGCACTTTTTTGTCGTGTTCCAAATTCTTAGATAGCGTCAACAAGTTCAGTAGGATCACGATTGTCCTGTGTAACAATACCGGTGTGTTTAGTGTCTATTGTGATACCCGTGTTTGCTATTTTCACGGCTTGTTAAACTTCCCTATCGATACTTTCATCTGATGTGACCTCTCGAGCTCATTATAATGTTTGTCTTGTTCTGTTGTTCATCGCACATGTTATGAGTTTATCTTAGCACGAATATATGTTGTGTCTCGTCAACATTTACATTTATACATGCTTTCTCTGAAAAAGAAATTCTTTGTATTTGATTAGATGCATGTCCTGGTCCATTATTTTGGTCTGCGACGAATTTTTTGGTTTAACTCGTCGAGTACCGGTTTTATAGACACAATTAAAGAACAATAGGTCGCGGTCACCGGTGACCGCTTGGTGTTTGACAGTTTAACATTTTGATTGGTAGTTTTTATTTCTGATTTTGACTAAAGTGTGTAGCTATGTATATTAATAATCATGTCTATGTCGTTTACATATATCTTCTTTGCAGGAAGAACAGAAGGTCTGCCCGTAACCAAACGTGCCTTGATGCGTGACCTCAAACTTTTACGTACGTTGAACAATTGCACAAGTGTTCGTATTCGTAGACCAAGAGCTTCAACCATCCATAGTCCCATTTTATTTTGCACAGAAGGTTTATTATTCACCAATCCTTTTTTTAACGATTAGTAATTCATTCGATGATAGTAGAATCGTGACTATTATTAACATTAATAAAATGCTAAAATAAATCCTAATAGTGATTTCA